TAATAGTTAATGAGAAGCCCAAATGGTTGGGTATCAAGCCCATGGACTTAAGACACCTAAATTATGGCTTAAGTGTCATAAGGCCCAATTTTGGAAGCCCAATGGGGTTTGGCCGAAAATGGTTAAGTGCATGTGTATGGGAATTGTTTCCATAAGCTCATTTTGACACACAAACACAATCCAACATCAACCAAAGAGGTTTGGGAGATCAAAGAGAGATAGTTGTGAGTTTTTCAAGAGTGAAACACAATCTTCTTTCAAAGGGGTTTAGATTGAAACCAATCTTGAGAATCTTGTACTAGCATCCTTGTATTCTCAAGATACCTCTTCTCATCTCAAGGTTTCATTGGTGTGGAGACTTAGAGGCCATATACTTTTGTGGCTCACAAGGAGGAGAAAGATCAAGAGGAGATCAACAAAGGAAAATCATCAAGAGAAGACCAAAACACAACTTGGTTCATATAATTGCTTCAAGGGTAATTAGATCTTATCATTTCTCTTGAATTTTCATTTATGAAAAACATATCAATGTTCATGGCTTAAGATACTTGGAAGAAGTTTTGTTTTTGAATTTAAACAACCACCATATTCTTCCGCTGCGATTAATTTGATTAAATGCATGTTTAATATTCAAATGAACTTCTTAAAAATGTTTTAAAACCAACAATGAGTCCTCCCACCACATTATGATGTTGCCCAAGTTTTGGGCCCGATCCGAAATCAATAGGTGTAAGAAATTGGACAATTCAAGTTCAAAGGCAGTTCGTTCCAAATTGGAGTGGTTGGTGTAATTCTTAGTTCTGGAGTTTGGATTTCACTCAAAACACACCAAATGACTCCTCCCACCATATTATGATGTTGCCCAAGTTTTGGATTCGATCCGAAATCAATAGGTGTAAGAAAGTGGACAATTCAAGTTCAAAGGAAGTTCGTTCCAAATTGGAGTGGTTGGGGTAATTCATAGTTCTGGAGATTGGATTTCACTCAAAACACACCAAATGACTCCCCCCACCACCTTATGATGTTACCCACGTTTTGGGCTCGATCCGAAATCAACAGGTGTGAGAAATTGGACAATTCAAGTTCAACGGCAGTTCGTTCCAAATTGGAGTGGTTGGGGTAATTCATAGTTCTAGCGATTGGATTTCACTCAAAACTCCTCAAATGACTACTCCCACCGTATTATCATTTTCCCCAACTTTTGGGATCGATCCGAAATTAATAGATGTGAGAAATTGGAAAATTCAAGTTCAAAGGCATTTCGTTCCAAATTGGAGTGGTTGGGGTAATTCATTGTTCTAGCGATTGGATTTCACTCAAAACACACCAAATGACTCCTCCCACCATATTATGATGTTGCCCAACTTTTGGGCTCGATCCGAAATCAATAGGTGTGAGAAATTGGACAATTTAAGTTCACCGGCAGTACGTTCCTAATTGGAGTGGTTGGTGTATTCCATACTTCTAGCAATTGGATTTCACTCAAAACTCCCCAAATGACTCCCCCCACCATATTATGTTGTTGCCCAAGTTTCGGGCTCAATCCGAAATCAATAGGTGTAAGGAATTGGACAATTCAAGTTCGAAGGCAGTTCGTTCCAAATTGGAGTGGTTGGGGTAATTCATAGTTCTGGCGATTGGATTTCACTCAAAACACACCAAATGACTCCTCCCACCATATTATGATGTTGCCCATGTTTTGGGCTCAATCCGAAATCAATAGGTGTGAGCAATTGGACAATTCAAGTTCAACGGCAGTTCATTCTGAATTGGAGTGGTTGGGGTAATTCATAGTTCTAGCAGTTGGATTTCACTCAAAACACACCAAATGACTCCTCCCGCGATATTATGAGGTTGCCCAACTTTTGGGCTCGATCCGAAATCAATAGGTGTGAGAAATTGGACAATTTAAGTTCACCGGCAGTACGTTCCTAATTGGAATGGTTGGTGTATTCCATACTTCTAGCAATTGGATTTCACTCAAAACTCCCCAAATGACTCCCAACACCATATTATGCTGCTGCCCAAGTTTTGGGCTCGATCCGAAATCAATAGGTGTAAGAAATTGGACAGTTCAAGTTCGAAGGCAGTTCGTTCCAAATTGGAGTGGTTGAGGTAATTCATAGTTCTGGCGATTGGATTTCACTCAAAACACACCAAAGGACTCCTCCCACCATTTAATGATGTTGCCCAAGTTTTGGGGTCGATCCGAAATCAATAGGTGTAAGAAATTGGACAATTCAAGTTCAAAGGCAGTTCTTTCCAAATTGGAGTGGTTGGGGTAATTTATAGTTCTAGCGATTGGATTTCACTCAAAACACACCAAATGACTCCTCCCACCATATTATGATGTTGCCCA